AGGTGACAGTCTCGCTTCCAGGGGGCTACGGAGGCAGGGCTGAACACCCCACCCTGCACCAGTGAGCGCCAGCCGCTGCCTGAAGTGGGCTCTCCCTGGGTTTGTCCCATCTTTGCCGATTCTCCACCCGCGCAGAGGCTGTAACCGGCCAGACAGGAGGCGTGCAAACACTCTGAGACGTGCAACAGGTGACTTCTAAGATACACCAGCAAACGTGCAACTGCCAGATGTTAAATTTGTGCCGCCATGGCTCCGGTACCTGCGACGTCTGACCCTGCTCCATCAGCTCATGTCCCTGGAGCTGCCTCCCAGCACATCCCACAGCCCCACACCAAGGTGTGCTACCAAACCCTGCTTCTACAGCTGAGAAAACTGAAGCAGGGGAGCAATACCACCAAGTGATGCTCAGTAACTTGATTTACTCAGTATCGGCGTCACGCTGCTCACGAGGAGATCGTCGCGGGGTGTGGGTTATCGACACTGCAGCAGAAAGCGTATTGACAAAACTTCAGTGCCACTATGGGCACAGAATATCTTTATGCCTAGCTGTTCCTCCTCTTTTAAAACAGCATTTAAACAACCTCCACCAGAGCCTGGCTGCCCATCTAAAGAGCAGGAAATAAACAAACCACCACGCAGGATAACACACTAGACCAACCTGCCAACACAGGAAGATTACCTGGGGTGAAAATTCCAATGCAAAAACCACAGGGCAGTACCAGAAACAGGAAACATTTACTAATTCTGTCACCCTAAATCTACACGGGGAAAAAACAACAACCCACTAGTTAAAAGCTAATACAGCTAAGTGACCAAACACGCAAAGTGTCATGGAAAAGGAAGCTACTGCTGCCTCCAAATCTTTACAAAGCCTCCCTCTGCCAGCTTGTCAGGGCAAAGAAAGAAGAGAGCCAAGAATCTGTACGGGAAGATCTCTCAAAGCTCAGACAAAAAGGGAGCTTCACGTCTAGCGACCACGGAAGCAGCACATTCCACCTCCACCTTTCGTGGTTGCGTTGCTCAAGGCCTGTCGGTAACCATCCCTAGAAAGGACGGGCACGCGGCGTTTCGGGGTGGTAACGAGGTTCCTGGATGGCAGGCTATTTGCCAAGTTAGCAGCAAGAGAGAACTCTGCCAAAATCCTGACGCTGGAGCGTATTGTCTGGGCAGGACCGGCTGCCTCCCAGACCGGTTCACCTGGTTTGAGCTTTCCAAGCTGAAGCTCCAAGTCACCCGCTGCAGAAGAGAGATGCTGGTGAGGCCACGGGCTGGGAGCACGGCTGTGACCTTCAGGGAAGGGATGGGAGCAGCTGGGACACAAAATAACTCAGGGAGTCCCTCAGGAGCGGAAGCAGCGTGTGGTGCTCGGTGCTTTCCCTTCGCTTGCCACAGGGCTGGATTGTCCCACCAACCTGAGGGAGCTGGCGCAGAGACAAAGAACCGAGTGAAAGCACATTAGAAGAGAGAGATTTGACTGGCCTAGCAGGATTTAAAGCCAACTAAGCATTTCAGACTGTGTCTGCACACAAGTAAGGGAACTGCAGGGTTCAGATAAGGCAACTGGGAGGAGCACCAGATGGGAGCAGCACTTGGGAAAGCCTCCCCAGAGAGGTGGGTGCCCTCTCCCCACAGAAGCCTCGCTCCCAAGGCCTTCTAGGAAACATCTTCATCACCACCAGCCTCTTCTTCCTCAAGACCGCTTGAATCAGACATTTGACTTGATTCTCCCGTCCCGGGCTGCCTCGACAGGAATCACAACATCACAAGGCCAGAGGGACCGAAGCAGGGGAGGTGGAGACAGTGAGACCCCACAGCCCCTGGCACTGAGCAGAGCTGACCCAGGAGTGACACCCCGCGTAGGAGAAGATAAGAGGGAGCTTCTGCCTTGGCAGGGGCACCTGTGTGGGACAGAGCTGCTGCCACCCAAGGCAACGCCTCTGAGGGCTTTGGGAAGGGATGAGGTTTCTTCAGTGTCTGTGGGAAGAAGGGCTCTGGCTCTGAGGCCACCCCA